TTTTAAAATATTTGTTGCAATTTTTGACATACTGAAAGGTTGGGCGTGAGGATGCTGTTATTCCCAGAGATGCTCATGTGGAGGAAAAAACCTCTTCCTTTCAGCAAGAAAGACGATAAAAGATTGTAGGTTGTTTGGGGTTTGTTTTTTTTTTGTTTTGTTTTGTTTTGTTTTTTTCCCCGTACGCGAACCTGTGTGAGAGAGAGAGGAAAATCTCACAGGTAGTGGATTGCTTATGTCAGCAAATAGGGACAACTTGCTTGGACACAGCTAGTATAAAGCATGTGCCAGCTATTAAATAAATGGTGTATCCATTGTAATGCTGGGATAATAATAATAATGAAAAGAAATCCTTACACCTGGTAAACAATTGCCAAGCTGACTAATATGAGCCTTGGGTTAGCAAGCAGTAAGGATTTAGGCAACAGGCTGAAACAGCAACTCTGCGTATTTGTGAAGCCCCACGGTTCACTTCTCCAGCTACAAGACTTCCTTAAATTTCATCCCTCCTTTAACCGCAAGTGCTTTTTAACCAAGTTTTCGGCACTATGAGCTACTAAATATGTGCTGTAATCATCTCCCTCAGCTGGTAACCGGTATCATCAGCTTACAGGGACTCCTGTATGGAAGTGTTATGTCTTAGTTGGTCTCAGCAGCCCCATTTTTCTTGCACAGATTTACGGCACTGTCTAATGAGTTGATATGCCTGCTCTGAGCTGAAACGAATTCCCAGAGAAATCTTTGAGTGGAGCCTGAGTCAAGAAGGGGAAGATTTACTGGGTTTCAGCCTGACTGCACGCGTGTGCTCACGGGCAGCCAAAATGGGTCATAGCCCCTGGGGTCTGGGGGTGCTGCTAACCCACCAGCGCAGGACAGGACACCAGGCTGCTGCCCCTGCACCTTCCTAAGGAGAAGTAAATCATGTCCTTGCAGTGGTGTCAATACTGCAGTTCCTCTCCCCCTCTTTTCCCCTGCACAAAGTTGGTGGGTGGTTTTAATTGCAGGGCACCCTGATGTAAAAGCGACAGTGTATGTAACGGCGCCGTTAAGCTTCAAAGCTAAAGAACTGCAGGCAGCTATTGCTGGTTGCACGTAGGCAGGCTTGGAAACGCGTGTACTTCGTACAGCACTCCGCAGCGCTGCATCTGCTGCGTGTGTCCGGCCAGACGAGGCTGTGGATGCTCTCCAGTCCACACTGCCACAAAGCGGATTACATGCACCGGCAGCTGCACACCCTCATCTTGCACATCATTGCTTTCCCTCTTTTTTCCCAATCTTAGCTGAAGTCTTTTTTTTTTTTCCCTCCCACGTTAGCTGCCCCCTCCCCAATTCTTCCCATCGTGTCACTGCAGCAGAACAGGCGTTGCTGCCCAGGCAGCGCTGGGGCGATCTCAGCCCCATGGGGCAGGCTGGGGTGGGAGTGGGCTCCTAAATTGTACCAGTGAGCCCAGGGCTGGGCTGGGCAGCACTGGCTGGGCTGAGAGGTGGCAGGCAGGGGCTGTGCGGCAGATGACTGTCATATGCCACCCTCTGCCACGAAGGTTTGCCACCACGCCAGGGAGCATGGGAGATGCATGGCCTTGGCGGAGAAGTTTGAAGGAGCCTCCCACCCCCCCCAGTACTGCTGAACTGGCTAGTAGGGACTCAGTTTTTTTGTCTATCTGTCTGTCTGTCTATCTATTTATCTCTCTCTCTCTCTCCCTGGTACAGGAAAGACTGTGAAGTCTATGGGTAAATGTGGTGATTTTTGGCAGTGTGAAGTTGATGGTTGGACTTGATGATCTTAAAGGTCCCTTCCAACCTAGACAATTCTATGATTCTACAATTCTAATTCTAAATGGCAGCATGTTAACCATAGCAGCCAAAATTAAAGAGAACTAATCTTCCTCTCTGCCCAGAGAGCAAAGGAAACACACTGAACAGTTAATACCCTTGTCCTTAAAATAAAGAGGATATTTAGCCTAAACGCACCTAAGGAAAACCCTCTAGAGGCAGTCAGAAATACCAGATTTTATTGCCGGGCTGTTAGGAGTCATAACTGGGCGGGTTGCACACGCAGGGAGGCAGGGCAGCTGGCGGGCAGGCTGCATGCATTGCCTCGAAGAGCTGCAGCGCTCACGGCAGCAGCTGTTCACATCGGTTGTGCCAACCCACGGGCACCGATCGGTGCGAGGCTTGTGAGAGGTGACCGGCAGCCCACAGTGTGCGGCGTTACCTGCAGCACCAGGGTTGGGATTTGCCTGTTGCAGCCCTAACTTCGTGGAGGGGACTCGAGGCACACCTAAGTGTCCCTCCAGCACATCGAAGGGATGAGGCAGCACGCAACTGCTCCCCTGCCTCGCTCGCGCGCCCTTTTGTGACATTCCAGTACATTTAGGTATTTAATAAGACTATTTGCAAGCTGCCTCCATCTGGCTCACGGCCAGGCTTCAAACCCGACGGCGACTCCTCATGTGCAACCAGCTCCAGCGTTAGCGGCAGGGAGAAAGCTATCCAGCCTCTTGCTTAATTGAATTAAACAGAATTCTCTTTGTCACTGGTGGCTGCTGTGCTTTGCGGATTGTGTCATCTTCAGAGGAGGCTTCAGTACAGCAAGGCACACACTGATTCACATATGTAGGAGTCACTCCAGACTAATTCCAGGCTGGGAGAGTAGATGTGGGACGCGTATTTATTTCCTCAAGTGAATGAAATGAGGGAATTCCCACCTCCCCCTCACTGTATTATCAAAATCATACACAAACATATGCTGGTTTTGCCTTTTTATTTTACTGTTTTTCATTATGTTATTTCTACTACTGAAAGGTAGTGCAAAGACAGCATCATGACACAACTGAGTGGAGGCTGGGTATTAAAACCTACGCGTATTTCTTAGATACGAGATGGGACGTGTGTGATCAACCTCTCTGATGGGAACGTATGCTTCCCAACGCCCCAAAGGAGAGGGGTTTGCCAGCATTATGCCTGGTGGCAAGGAGACCATCAAGCGCTGGACTGCTCAGCGACAATCGGTCCGATCTGAGGCTCCCTTCTGCGACGAGGCAGAAAACGTGGAGCTGGCAATCTCCGAAAAGCTCCGGGGAGCATAAAACCAGGAGGTTCACAGCCTCAAGGGGGAAGAAAAACCCAAACCAAGAACTGCTTTTCCTCTTCCAGCCAAATCCCGAGTGCTGCCGCTGGCACCCGGAGCGCCGCGGAGGTGGCTGAGGCGCCCAGACATCCCTAACGAGGGGGTTCAGCAATTAGCAATACGGGGTGCTTGGCACGCACCTAAGGCGAGGACCGCTGGAGAGGAGACGCACTGGGTGACTGCTGAACCTCAGTAAAAAATAAAGCACCTTTTATAACATAATTGCGTGCTTTATTGATATACACAGTAAAGCAGTATATAATACAATAGTAAGGCATATATTTGGTGAAATTTGATATGTTGTGAAAAAATGCAGTAAAACAGAAGTTTATAAAAATAATTAGTAAATGTTACAGTGTTGGTGTTAAAACACAATATATTATGATATCCAAGTAATAAACCAGTACTGAGTAACAATGAAATAACATGCCATATGGTATTTATGTATTCAATTACACTGATTATGTTTTACAGTTTAATACTCTGTCATTATAAGGAATATGAAATAATTCCCAAATTATGCTTAAAAAAGCAGCGATAAAGCTTTTAACTTTTTAAATATTTTTTGACAGACTCACTCCAAAACTAAGATCTAGAAAGTAAAACAAACAAAACAAAACCCTGATGAAAACAACCGTGCAATCCGTTTTTCCTCCTTTTTTTTTTTCTGAAGAGAAGATTTAACATATAAGGGGGAAAAAAAAAAAGAAGAAACCCATCTCTTTCTCAGATCTTAATTTAAACCTTCGGATAAAAGAGACCATGAGAAATACGAAGGGTTTCTATTGTAATAAAGTGTTAAAAAAGCTTTTTATTAGGAAAGCAGAGGTTTGGGGGGGCGTTGTACTTATTTCTTGTAAATGATTATCATTGTTGGTATTACTCAAACAATGAGAACTGGTCACACAATGGACACGTGGTGATGATGTAACATTATCCGTACGTAATTGTCAGGAACACCACAAAACCAAAGTGAGGTAGAAATAGCATGACTAGCCATGTTCAATGTTAACTAGCATTCAAAATAAAATCTTTCCCAAGTTTAATTACACTTCATACAAGAAGAGGTAACAGATTTTTTACTCTTGCAATACAAAGTCAGATGGTGAGTTTCTACGTAGTCTATGGTAAAATTAAGAGCTGGTTAAGAAAATGAAGTGGTAAAGCTTTTGCTGACAGCACCTCATACCCAAACCTACCTCTCACGAGCTGCAGTCAAGCTGGCTAATCTGTTTTGCTATAAGTTCCTCTCCTTCTCACGTTATTGTTAATTCTGCGGGATTACTTGTAGAGAGAAATGGGGAAGGAGAAAAGACCAGGGCCTCTGTTTTGGTGATAAATATCTCATGGAGCAGTGTGGCTACCTTCACCTGATCGCCATACGCGTGCAAGAACAGCAGGAACTCTTCTACAGCCTTTCCCAAAGGTTGCTCGCAGCATTAACAGCTCCTTGGGACCGGCTGCTGTAGCAGGCTGAGACACACATTGCGGAAAGCTCTGGTTTTATCTTCCAGAGGATCGAGGAGCTTCATGCTCATTAAGGATACAGGGAGCTGGACAAGCAAAGATGCTCTGTGAGTAACGTACTTGTGCTTCGGGTCAGAAGCTGATCCCACAGTGGGGTCAGGAGGGAACTCTCCCTTTCTTCTCTCCTCTGCAGCAAAGGTGACACGAGCGGTGGCAGCGGGTGGGGGAGAGCTGTACCCAACTCCT